GAATGATTGAAATTAGAGATGTCAACGAATCCAGTTAAGCCGAGCCGTGAGCCAAAACTTGAGGCTCCAACTCGACTCAAGTAGAAATAATTCGAACTTTTTTTAGTCCAAGTTGAGCCGAGCTATTGCTCAACCAAAAAATATAGGCTTGACCTAGCTTTTGGCTTAGGCCTTATCAAGTTGAGCTTGCTAACTTTTTTTGTTTTATTTTTTTAAGCTTCTCATGTCACTGCAAGGAGTTACATAGCTGCTTGCAACGTTTATCTTGCAGGCTGTGTATCTATCTATAGCTTCATTTTTTTTTTAAGGTTCAGCTCATCACGAATTGAAAATGACTCGTGACATGAATCAGCTCGAGTGGCTTATTGAGCCATACGAACTGGCTCGAGCTTGGGCTGACTCCCTAAAATGGTCGACTCGAACTCTTTTCGAACAGTCACGGACGGCTAAAGCCAGCTAGTCAAATTAACAACCATAATTGTAATGTGTTACAAGGGCAGAAAAAGCTGCTGCTATTGGAAAAATCGAAAGTATGTCATTTTCTTTTGACTTCTACATAATGGAAATATAATAATTTACATATAGATAAAACTTCAAAAAGAGAGTCCAGGAATATTTTTTCTATATATAATTAAAGAGATTTTGATTCAATCATATTTCATCGAATCATTAGTATATAAATTATAATAAAAATGTACATGTAGCACAATCGTTATCATTCTCTATATACATTAGTCGTTAACTATCTCCAGCATGAATTATACATGAATAGCATTGCCCCCGGGACAGGGTTCGATTCCTGAGACATGAAATTGGACTTTTCGTGAACACTAGTGTATGAGCAAGCTTTTGTTACCTGATCTGTTTGGACACATCCCGCGATTTACCTCTTCTAAGATGCTCCAGGAAGGGGACGGTGAGAGCTCTTAAGATTGGGTATAACTTTTTATTTTTTCATTTTTTATGCATGAATAGCCTTACATATGCAAGCGTCAAAACCAATGTTTTGTTGGAAGAGGAATCATGCACCTGTGAGAAGTGGCTATAGCCGAATTGTTTTGGACGTCAATTTATCTATCCGATCCGGGCCTGCACTACTACCCATAGCTTTTATGCCCTATAGGATCATACGATCAAAGGTGATATAACCAAAAACAAAGTCCCTAACCCACTTAATAAAACTCTCCTCGTTTTCGTTTAAAATAAAACTTTTTAATTTTCACACTCATTTCTCATTACACATTTACAAAATAAAATATTTTATAGTAAATTCAAATATTTTTTTAATCACACATTTAACAAAAAATCACTATTCATAACTTCTCATTTTTTTTTTCAAAAATAACAAAAAAAAAAAAAAGGTACCAAGTCTTTAAGACCAATTGTCCAGTACGCTATCCATTTGTTGAATGGTGTCCATCATTCATTCACACTACATTTCAGAATTTTTTTTAAACAAATATTTTATTTCATCTATATATCCATAAATTCTTCATTAATTTACTATTTCATAATACATTATTTTTAATTTTTCTACAAACTCCCAATTAAAAAATGACACGCCTCGGTAAAGATCATGCGTGAATTCTCCTTGTACACCAAGGACATCTCATTTGGTGTATAGTGTTCCTCGTTGAAAATTGTCTCATCAAACTTCTCCCAAAGACAAGATAAAAAGTAAAAGAAGTTACACTTCAAAAAATATATAAGAAATTAGTTTTTATTATTATAATCAAGCATATATGAGATTACACACTAATATTAATTTATACAAAAGCTAGACACCAACCTCTCATCAAAACGATAAATACAGGCACATATTTATTATCATCATCTACTAGTGATGATTATTTATCTAGACACGCATAATATTAAGACTTATCTTCTCTTCATCTCTGCTTCAAATCCTGAATTCAAAGTTTTTGCTTCATTTGCAATTGCATGGATTGCAAGTGCAATTATCACCGCACTTGCATCCGTTCTCAGTTGCAGCAGCACCCATCTCTGACTCGGATCCCTCAAAATGTCTGAATAATTCAAACAAAGACATAAATTAATTTCATATTCCTTTGCATAAAGGAATTAAAATTGAGGTCATTAAGCAGAATATGTAGAATTCAAAATAATATACATACGTCTTCTGTGGTGCTACTCCGAGGACGACGGTCTCGGTGGTGGCAGCGGTAGCCTCCGTATAGCTCAAGTCGGTGTACATATTGCACCTGTAATTATCATAATGCATTAAAATTCATCAAATTCATGAAAAAGCAATTATCCATGAAATTTAAAAACGGAATAGCAAAATTGAAAGCAAAAATATAAATATAAATTAAAAACTCACCCTCCGCCACCATTACCACACTTGGAGCTATATCCAGAACCAGTGTTTCCTTCACAGCAAGACATTTTGTTTTGTCTGAAATTTACAAGAAGATGTGATGAGAAATTGAAGGATTGATCAAAAACCTTTATTTATAGGGCATGGAGGAGAGACGGATCTGAATCTCAACCGTACACGTAGTAAGATCGTAGGGTCCGGTCCATAACTCTAACCGCCTTATCTTGGTCATACTTATCTGTATGTCTCTCGAAAGTTCAAACTATGAGACGCCACGCCAGTATTTTCTAGAACTCCACCTCAACCCCAGATATTTTAGATGAGGCTGTGAATAAATCATTATTTATTAGCTCCTGTAATTTTTAAATTAATTGTCAATTACAACGATATATACTAAATCGATTTTTTCACGTTTCATTTATTTACAATCTCACAGAGAAATCATGTTAGCATTATGATATGTTGTTCCCAAATGGTTGTCGCCCGACTCAAAAAAAGTGTTAAAACGTGAATGGGGATGGTGTATTAAATTGCTCGATTGGCTCATCGTTGGACTCAACTCAATCCATCATGCTAGTTGACTAGTGCTTTCTTATGGGGCAAGCCAGATTATTTCGCCTAATGTGAGTTTGGCTCGTCTCACTGGCTCATCTGTTCGTAGTTTGTTAATTTTTTCGAAGTCAAACTTTTATTTCACTTTCTACTGCTAGAAGGCGGTCTTTCAAACCTGCAAACATTATAAGTCATGTTTGATATTCAATATTAGACTTGACTAAACACTATGAATGAAAATTAAAAACTTGTTTATCGAATTTTCTAGTCATGCTGTTGTGAGGAAGCGGTCACTATTACAGCATAAAATCACTATTACACATGGAAAGTCAACTATAATTGGGATAACTTAACCATTACAAACTCTTCAATTAGTGAAATGGTTGTGAGAGAGCGATCAATCAACTGAATGTATGAAAGGATTTTGTTCCAACAAAAGCCACACGATTGAAGAAGAAATAATATCTTCTAAGATCATTTTCGTCATAAAAGAATTCCTTGAATCTTTCTAGTGGTTTCAGAATCATACGAGAATTTTATAAGGACTACTTCCGAGTTTCACATTGCACACTTAATATCTTCTTTATGAATTTATGAACAGATTGAACATCTCTTACGTATCATTTTTATGTGTGAATTCTATTTAAGTAGACACTGTCCAATGGACTATGTCCCGGCCAGGCTTACTTTATACAGGAGAGCGAATGCCCAACATTAAAGCGCACACATTTTTGGATGATCCATTGGGCTTCTTCCATTAGAAAAGCTAGAACTGAGATGCACCATAAAATCATTTTTCTTCTAAATCATCGTGGATTTATGAAAGGCAAATCTTTAATTTCTCTATTTAATCCTCCTTATTTTCTTCAAGATTATGGCGGT